AATCTGAAAAGAGCTTCACTGAGTGAGAAGTAGTAAGAGCAGCAGACAGTTTCAGTTTCACTTTGCTCTGTTACTGCCGAGAGCCTTGCAGGAGTCATGGGCGGGATGTGTGGGGTGGGGAGGTGTGCTCCGTGATGAGGAAGCTCGGCTTGGAGACACGTCCCAGGGCGTTTCTGGTCCCCACCTGTTGTTTTGCTCCTCAGCATGACTTCCTAAAAACACTGCAGGATTTCTCAAACATGCATGAATGAGTCAGAGCAAGACTTTGGGCATGTTTTTTTATGAGAGTATAACATTATAACATGATATAAAACTCAAAAAAGTTGATTTTACATGATTTGGCCCCCTGAATATCTTTGTTTTTGATCAATCACACTTGGGTAATATACAACCTGTGGGCCAGAAATGGCCCTTGGATGCTCTTGATGTTTTTACATGAAAACAAAACAAATTTAATAGAAATTCACAAAAACAAGCATTTTACTGATTGAAGTTTAGTAAACTGAAAAACAAAGTTTTGAATGGGACGTGTGATTTTAAACCCTTCCTTTTCACATTTAAATCATTTATCGTTTAAATAAAGTGACACTGCAATGCTTTTGGTCTGAATTCTTCCCTATTGTAAGTCAGCAAGCCCCTCTTTCACCCCTGTTCTGAGAGGTGTCTGAGATCAACTTGTAATTAATTGCACTGCTAGAGAGTCAAAATATACAATAAAATTAATTTGACTAAAAAGTAGATTTTGCCTGATATGTCCCCTGTAAATTAAACATCTTGAATGTACATATCTTAAAACTTTAAGCTAAAATAAGCTAAAACATTTTTGTAGCCTGCTTGTTTGCTAATCCGTACCCAGACTGAATCTAAATGCTCAAACAACACTAAACTTAGCTTTTTTTTAAGCTAACAAATACTTTTAAGTAAGTTCCGGGAAAAGTATATCAAAAATTCTAAGAGCATATCAAAGAGACACTTGTTGACCTAGCACTTGTTTAAACAGGAGATTAAAACAAAAAACCTGGAAATATTTTTTTCAAATTGTATGTAAGGAAGAGTATTTCTTCCAGTTTAATTCACAACCATTTGCTTGATTTGACTAAGTCTATATGGTCCTCTGGAAACAAAACTTTGCGTGTCATATGCAGACAAGATTGTATACCCTAAGTCAGGGGTTCTCAAGCCATTTGGGTCTGGGGACCCCTTACAATGGCAAAAAAAATTCCAGGGACCCCCTCATAAACCCCATGCTGTTTTAAAAGATGATTTGTTGTCATTTCAACCCCTAAATGCCATGGGAATATATGTATATTTTTTATTAAGTTTATTATGTTTGTTTTATTAGTTCATTGTTCTCCATGCATTTTTAAACATGAAAACCAAATTAACATTTTAGTAAAAATTTTTGAGGACCCCCAAGATACCTCTCGCAGACCCCAGTTTGAGAACCTCTGCCCTAAGTTACGTCGAATAGCAGTATCTTTTGTCTACACTGCCTGGCCAAAGAAAAACAGTCACCTGGGTTTAAATAAGCAAATAGGTACAAGCCTTCTATTGGATAATTACTGCATGGGAGATTATCTTTCAGCTGGCAGCAAGTTATTTAACCTCAGCTGGTGCAATGAGTTGCTTCTTACTTCTTAATGTTGAAAGACACATTCCGTGGACGTGGAAAAGATGCCCAGTCAATTGGAGAAGGGTCAAATCATTGGCTAACAGGAAAAAAGATTTCAGTTTGCTTGGGAGCATAAAGATTGGACTCTGGAGCAATGGAAGAAGGTCATGTGGTCTGATGAGTCTAGATTTACCCTGTTACAGAGTGATGGGGGCATCAGGGTAAGAAGAGAGGCAGGTGAAAGGATGCTCCTATCATGCTTAGTGTCTACTGTAAAACCTGTGGGGGTAGTGCTATGATCTGGGGTTGCTGCAGTTGGTCAGGTCTAGGTTCAGCAACAGTTTTATGCTCAAAGAATGAGGTCAGCTGACTACCTGAATATACTGAATGACCAGGTTATTCCATCAATGGATTGTTTCTTCCCTGATGGCATGGCCATATTCCAAGATGACAATGCCAGGATTCATGGGGCTCTTATTGTGAAAGAGTGGTTCAGGGAGCATGAGACATCATTTTTACACATGGATTGGCTCCACAGAGTCCATTGAGAATATTTGGGATGTGCTGGAGAAGGTCAGGCTCTACCATCATCAATGTAAGATCTTGGTGAAAATTTAACGCAACACTGGATGGAAATAAATCTGGTGACGTTGCAGAAGCTTATTGGAACAATGCCACAGCAAATGTGTGCTGTAATGAAAGCTAAAGGTGGTCCAATGAAATATTAGTTTGTGACCTTTTTTTGGTGGCGACTTTTGTTGGCCAAGCAGTGTGTTTTGCAATATGCCTTAGATCAGTGGTTCCCAAACTTTTTGTCTTCTGACCCCCAAAATATCCATGGCAAAAACTTGTGACCCCAAATATAACTGGTCTGAGCTTCGTTGATAACCCTAAAAACACAGGCTTTTTGACTAGCTAAACAGCTTATACACAAATATAAATACTTATTTTTACTTATTTTGTGTTTTTGTAATAATTATAGGGAAAATATTGCATCAGCAGTTATTTTATTACCCTTTAAATTGATTTCWGGAGATTATCCAAGGTGCTTCATGACCCATAATTGGGTCCCAAGCCCAACTTTGGYAACCAAAGTGCAGTGYTTCCCAAACTTTTCAGCTTTTGACCCACAACATAGTACAAAACAGTAACAGAGACCTGTGCCCCCAACTTTTTTTGGATGATAAACATTTGTATCAGGTCAACTAAACGTGTGCATAGTAACAATATTTTTATACTACATTTATCCATTTTAAATATACTAACCTCACTCATTTGTAACAACTAAGGCAAAAATGTCATTCAGAAAAAATTTTCAGGACCCCACCTTGATGTTTTGGGACCCCACTTTGGGTCCCGATCCCCAACTTTGGGAAACACTGCCTTAGATCATAAATTGTTGTATTTAGGAATGCAACCTTCCTGTCAAAAGGTTGCCCATCTCAAAAAGAAGGCTAGGGTATTTTTTATTTTATTTTTTTACAATATGCTGTAACTATAAATCTAATCAATAGCACCCCGTAAACATTCAAGAGAAAAACACAGAAAGTTTTTGGTAGTAGTTCAGCGTTTCCCCTATTTATTAACCTAGAGGGACGGAGCGCTAATGTTATCAATGGCGGTGGTTTTAAACGGGTGGGGATGGACTTTCGGCAGAAGTGGAGCACTAATATTGATAATGCTAGGTTGAAGCCACTTAAACTGTTGCCACAATCTTTGTTTCCCATCTGGAAGTAATAACCCAGGGATGGGGGTGGGAGGTGTTTGATAGGCAGGGCGGGTGATTCCATTGGGAGGATGGACACTCTTCTATTGGTAGAGGAAACACTTGTTTCCGCAACATATCTCCAGTCCATACCCAGTGCTAACAGATTATTTTGTGTAAGATGGAGGCTGAAATGCCTTCTTTGAATTTATCATTTCTTCATTGAACTCCACTTGACGTGAGCCAACATTTTTAACTGAGGAAATGCTTCTTCAAAATATTTTTTTAAACCTTGCATTTTCTAGGGTATTGTGGCCACTTTAAATTTCTAGAGTAATCAGTTAGACAACTTTTCATACCAAAAATAACAAATATTTTAGATGAATTCAGGTTAAGCCATTTTATGTTTCTTGTTGTTTCAGGAAAAAGCCACATTTGTCCAGAATGTGGTAGTGACCATGTAGTTCAAGTGGCTGAACAAACCACTCCCTACAGCAGTACGCCCACCTTTCATTCATCAAGACCTCACAACCAAGACACTTACCTTGATATGACTCAGAGCACTCAAAGTGTCAACAAGGTCTTTCTGATCCTTTCAGTTATTCTTCTGTTTGTTTTGCTGTTTTCTCAAATTACTGCTTACATTTTCTGATGTTTTGTTTTTATTTCCATAGCTTGATGACACAGATACAAGTATAAGCAGCAGTCCTATCCCAGAAACCGCCATGATCTCAGAGGATCCCACATTTGTCACAGCCCAGGGAAGCTCCTTCTTCATTGGGGATGGACCAGATGATACCAGCAACCTCTCCTTCAACACAGAGTTCCAGAGTAAGGAGGACCTAGCAGGAAGCTACCACTACACTTCAACGGGGGTGACCCCACCTCAAGTTGAACCTATAGACCGATCCACCTCTAAGGGTGAGTGTAATTTATGCATCCAGTGATTGTCACAACCCAGATTTAGACATTAAAACATTTGCATCGAAAATGGTGTTCCACAATGTTCAGTTCTGGAGCACCTTAATTTATCTTTACTCTCTTTGTTTTCTAAAAAGACAATATGCAGTATCATGTTAAGCCTATTACACCCAGCTATACTTGTATACTAAATCAAGTTCATCTTGCCAATCTGATTGCTTCAAATAAATTGAGACTTTAATTTTTATTTATTTTTTACGTTTTTTAAAAATAACTGAAGCAGAATTACTTATTGGTTTGAGTTGCTAGTAATAAATATTCTCATCACTGAGCCCAACGATAACCAAAGCCTGCTGCTTTTCTGACTTGTAACTGTAACGTGGTGAAATAGGGCATGGGAGGAGTTCAGAGAAGACATGGAAAAAGACTTCTGTACAGCTTCGAGGCGATTCTGGTCCACCATGCGGCGTCTGAGTGGGGAAAGTGGTTCAACACCAGCACAGTTTTTGGTGGGGATTGTGCGCTGCTGACCTCAACCCACTTTTTCCACAATGTGGAGTGGCCGCATATCTTTAGCAATGCAATATGCCATGGCCCGCATTATCTCCTTCCAGCACTTACTTTGCCGCTCGTAAGGACAGACTGACTGAAGGCCTTTGCATGCTCCATCCAAAGTGCTGAAATCAACGCTCTTTATTGCAGTTGCATGAAAAAAATTGTGCCATTTTGTTTGTAGCTTCAAGTCTTCTACCCCTTCTTGTCACAACGTGCTGTGATTGGTCATAAGTTTGTGGACGTGCTTGTTTATGCTGAACGCACCGGTATGCTGCATTTTGTTTTAACTACTACATTATCTGACTGTTGTACCCAGAAGCAGACATTTATAAAGATAGGTAAATGTCCAAAATCTCTTGGAAGGAGAGAGCACAGACATTGTGCATAAAGGAATCTGTCTGTCAAAACCTATGGTGCTTTAACTGGGACAGATTTGTGTCCAAAATAATAGTGGATATCGGAGGGTTTTTTATTCCCCACAGTGTAGACTCCATTGGGAAGAAACCCTGGGCAGGTTTCCCAGGAGCTTGGCACTGTGCATCTCTGGGGCAATGAAAGGTGTGTGTGAAAACGACCCTCAAACAACCATGTGACTGTGCGTTGACTATTCAGCTTTGCTTCGAGGATTCTGGACCCTTAAGTGCATGGGTGCATCGTGGATTTTCAGCTGGGTAGATTTGTTTCAGCATTTGCTGAAGGAGAGTTTGCTGTAGCTGAAGTTGCATCGGCCTGCATTTTCTGGATTTCCTCATACTCCTGCTGTTAGCTGTGTTTCAGGTGATTTAATTAATTTTGTAGTGTTACCATGTGTTGTCTTCACTTTACTGTTGCACATCCTGCAAGTGACACAGACCTACTCAAGGTCTGACCTTACGAAGCCAAACCAGCTCCACACAACAGAAGTTAAACCTAGTCTAGGAACAAGCTGCTCCGCGCCACCCCTACTAGTGTTGGGCGGTATACCGTTTTGTACCGAGAACCGGTTTCTATTTTTGTTATGATATGACTTTTCTGAATACCGGTATAGCCTAAACACATGCGGACCGTTTCGTCGCGGCCACTAGAGAACTGTTTCCCTGGGGACACATTTCGTTAGAGCACCGCTAAGCGCATTAGCATGCTAACGTTATTGTTGGAACAACTGGTGGCGGGTGGTGTGTTTCAGCCGCTTATATGGTCTGACGTAAAAAAAAAATCCCGTTTTCACTATTGCTGACTGTAGTAAACAACTCTTCAGTGACGTGCACGGTTAGATTTAATGCACTACGTTATAATGGAGACGTTATTGCATGGAGACTCTAGCGTGCTTCTATTGTGAAAAGCCCGGGGGGAAGTAGTTTTGTAGTGTAGCAGAGTTGACTG